CCTGGCTCCGGTCCGCGCCAGGCCTAGTGGATGTGCTCTAGAATTACTCCTTGGTGTGTGTGGGATGGGTACCTTGGGCTTCTTTGAAATTTCCAATTGACCCCACTCATTTCAAAACTTCTGACTTCTCTTCAAAGTCGGGTAGTAGTGAAGAGCATGGAATCTGGAGACCGAATGGCTCAATTCAGACACCAGCCTGACCATTTACTAGACCTGTTAACTTGGGCAGTTTTTTTCTGATGTCCCCTTCATAGTTTCTCATCTGTAAAATGGAGAGAAACCTCGTGGGGTTGTCGTGAGGATTCAACGAGTGAAGCCTGTACACCTTTCTGAAGAGTGCCTAGGACAGAGTAGTGCTGCACGTGTTCGCATTATTTATCGAGTGCCTACTTCGGTATGCGTTTGTTGGACACCTGTGCTCCACCCTGAGGGTTCACACCGGGTCAGGCTCCCCAGAAACGAATTCCCCCCCTTCCCTCTCTCTCAACATGTGAGCTTTTCTTGGAAGTCAGTTCCAGAGCAGTCAAGCAGAACCCAGGGGAAACTGCTCTCCCCTTTACACACACACACACACACTTTAGGGTAAAAATAACTAAGGGAAACAGCGGTGATGCTTGAAAGGGTGGAAGTTAGAGGTTTTGCACTGTTGGTGGCCCCAGCTTTGAGATGTGCCTAACACCTGAGCCTCTAGCCTTTTGCCCGGCTAGGCTGAGTGAGGGAGGTAGTGTTACTTGGTTTAACTGCAACCAAGCTTTGACTTGTAATTCTGGCTCTAGTCATTCCCCTGGGATTTGATGCAGCTCTGTTCAGTGTGGGCAGAGATTGTGAAAGGGAGGAAGTAGGAAGTGTACCCTTTTAGGAATCCCATTGTGTAGTTTGAGTGCTGAACCTGGTAGTTTGAAAGACACACCAGGCACGTGGCCATTCCCCCTCCCCTCCGGAAGCTTTCTCACTTTCCCTCTCTCCATGGAGCCCAAGCCCCATAGAGCAAAATTACACACACACACACACACACAAAGTGAAATATCATATCCTTATTCTTTTACATTTTCTGCTTTTAAGAGATGTCTTCCTCTTTGGGGATATCTGTTGGTAGGGAGCTGACCAGTAGTTCAGGGGCTCAAAACGTCCTTAAATGTTTATTGTTAGACATTTGATGTAGGCTTATTATTTCTTCTGAAAGTCAGATTTTTAGGGAATGGAGTAGTAAAATGTGCCAACTCTTTCTGTTTTGTAATTCTTCATATTTATGAATGTCTTTTCACTTACATGGAAGTAACACAAATCAAGGTTTTTACTTATTTATATTGCACATGTAAAAAGACATTTAAAATCTTAACAATAAATGATAAGCAGTAGCTCACCCAAATTAGGCAAACTTGGTTAATAGAGTCATACCACCTCTGATACTTGGTGATAGTGACAGTAGGGAAGAAAGTTAGGCACTTTGTGACTTCTGCATGTCTTAACTACTGGGGCTGCATGATTTTTTTTATTATTAAAATTTTTTTCTTCACCCTTAAAACCATTAGGATTTGCAAATTTCTAAATACTTTTAAGAGTATTTGGTGTGAAACTGAGATGAATTACAGAATTGTGATTTTATTTTAAAAGAGGTTAACGGTTTTCAAAATTGTTATTTCATAGATTATTGAATTGCATTTGGAAATTTTATTCTTTGATTATTGTTTGTATTTTTTGTTATGACTCCTTTTGAGAGATGTTTGCTACTACCAGTATTGTTTGGCTTTTTTAGTAGCAGATAAGATTTTAAAATTTACACTGATAAAATCTGAAACGTTTTGAAATATTTTTCCTCTTTCACTTGAGTGGTTCCCATGTATTTAGGAACTTACAATTCTCTCCCCACCCCCTCTAAATTTGAATGGGTTGTTCCCGATTTCTGTCAAAGAGGAGTCTTCATGGCTCTCCAGAGAAAATGAATGGTAAAGTTATCTTTTCAGCAATCTCATGCTTAAAAATAATGATGCACTCATTCTCCTGATCTGACTTTTAGTTTCATTACCTTTGCTGCCTTTACCCAGTCTATAGGTGATTCTTTTTACTTTTAAAATTCATAAAAATGGAGAGCCAGCAAGTAGCTTGGTAGTTAGGGCTCTGCCTTCCACATGGCTGACCACGGTTCATATCCTGAACCCAGCTACTTGAAAATCATGACAGGCCCATGTGTGCACGTGCGCCCAAAATCCCAGGAAGAGAATGGAGTGAAAGGATTGCAGCGTAGCCTTTTCCCTGGGGAATGGTTTCTCACTTTCCGTCTCATTCATTCTCATTCTCTTTGTCTCTCCAGTGAGCGCATGTGCCCTATAGCAAAAACCTTTAAAAAAATTTTTTTTCCCCTAATAATGGGGCCAACAGGTAGAGAGAAGGTTAAGGCACTGGATCCCACATGGTTGACTCCATGGTTTGAGTCCCAGACTTGGCGACTTGAAATTCATGCAGGGCATGTGTACATGCATGCCCAAAATCCCAAGAGGAAACTGGAGGAGAAGGGGTTGTGGTGTGACCATTCCCCCTGGGGCATGATTTCTCACTTTCCCTCTGAATATGTGTGTGTATGTGTGTGTGTGTCTTTCTTGAGCACACTGGCCCTATAGCAAAAACTTTAAAAAAATCATAATAATGAAATAAGAGAAGAGAGTATTTAAGTAGCTTTGTGGTCATCAGAGATCTTTGCCCTTCTTGCTCTTCATTATAACACTGTCTATCATTCTTCATTGTTTTGACTTTAGGATTGAGAAAGAATTTACCTTTTCTCTGTTACAGTTGCCTGACTGGTTTGGTTTCTACTTTTAAGTCTTTCTAGAAACTGTAGTTTCTGTAGTTGTATCTGGAAATTTATTTCTCAGTATAACGAATATTTCTGGCCCCACAAAATAATTTAACTGCCAAAAATAACACCTGCCAAATACAGCCTTTTGTTTGCTACCTCACCCCTGTTACCTTTACTTCTTGGCAAATTCCTAAATTTTCTTCACTTATAGTTATCCTAACATACATCAGTGAATTCTCTCTACCTCTAACCTAACTGAAGCAGTTTTCCCTAGTATGTAAACTTTTTCCTCTGACAGTGTCATTGTCTTTTTTTGTTGGCTTCATCAGATAATGCTGAGTAAAGAGATAAGTAGTCATTAGCTTTCTTCCTGTTGACATGGACACTGGGAGCCACACTGAGAGGTCAGTCTTAGCGCTTCTCACTAAGATCAAGTCCAGTGCTAGAAACACACTGTGTGAACACATCATACGACTATGAACGTGCTTCAAATCTCCATGAAAAGAAAAGACTGGCAGGCGGCATGGTGGTTAAGGTGCTGGGCTTCCATCTGGTCAACCGCAGTTCAAGTCCCACACCTGGTGACTTGCTTTCTCACGTCCCCTCTATCTCTCTGTCTTTGGTCAAATTAAAAAATCATAATAAATAAGTAATTTTTTAAAGAATTATTTTATTTAACCTTATTTATTCATTCATTTATTTTAATTTGACCAGAGAGGGAAAGTGAGAGAGCAAGCCACTAGGTCCAGGACTCAAACCATGGTCAGCCATGTGGGAGTATCCAGCACCTTAACCACCATGCCACCTGTTGGTCCCCAATAAGTACTTTTTTTTTTTTTAGGAGAGTTTTGCTATAGGGCATGTACGTTTGCCGAAAAGACGGAAAGTGAGAAATCACCCGGGAGGATGGCCACATCTCAATCCCTTCTATTCTCCTCAGGATCTTGGGCATGCATGTGAACATGCACCCAGCTTGAGTTTTAGGCTACCGGGTCTGGGACTCAAACCATGGTTGACCACATGGGAGCCCAGCAACGTAACCATTGCGCCATCTGCTGGTCCCAATAAGTAATTATTTTTTAAAAAATCATGCCAGATTACATATCAGTGCACAGAAATGTGACAAAGTATTTAAAATAGCAGTCATACCATCGGCTACATTTTTGTGGCTGAAACTGAACCTAAGCCATCACATAGGGCATTCCAGCTTTAGCAGGTATGCTGATTGTAAGAGTAGAAGGGAATCATCTCCCCTAGCCTTTTACTCCTAAGCAGTGACAGCCACCAAACATCAAGAAGGGAATACTGCTTTAGGGAAGACTTCTGTCTTCTGGGGCTTCAAGGAGCCTAGCCAGGATTTAGGCTGTTTAATTTATAAAACAGCTGGCTCAAGTCCATTGTTTTTAAGTCAAAAAGTGCTCAGTACCTGTGCCTTGCACGTTTCTCACTAGCTTATTTATCTCACACTCTGAGTAGTTTATTTTTTTTTTCTTGCAGATTCATTTCATGGAAAAGTAACGGTTGCCTGGAATAGAGATTAAATTATAGTTTTACTTGAAGCATAATTTGACAGTAAATGTTCAGCTTTCTCAAATTGAATAGTATCTGGTTATGACTCAGAACAGCATAAACAAAGCCCACAGAATGGCTAAGTTGAAGAGGCTAGATAATTGCATGGTATCCTCACTCTAATTTTTTTAAAACAAAGTAACCAAATTGGGGGATTTGGTTTTTGCTGCCTTTCTCTCTGTGCCATTTGCCTTGAGGTGACCATTTCCTTGGCCAAAGCATGGAGTCATTTCAGAAGACATGGAAGATAGCAACACAGTGAACAGAACAGAAGAGAAGCCCATGAATTGTTGGGGCTTATTAAAGTTCCCTGACTACAACCTGATAACTGATAATAATAATTGCAGTTTTCTACAATGATTGACATAAAGAAATACTGATTTATTTGTATATTTCTGTCTTTCAAGGCAAGCAGAGTCTTGGTGGCTTCCCGTAATTTTGCAAATGATGCTACGTTTGAAATTAAGGTAAGGGGTGTTTTACTTTGTGACTATTTTTTCCACAGATTAACTTGTATATAGTTTTAACTTTAGAACAGAACATTTTGATAATTCATGCTCTTTTATCATTTTCTTCCAAATGTTCCAGAATCAAATGTTCAGAGAAGTTTAACAAGCATTAGAATTTATTATTCTTGGGACTAGCAGATGGTGTAATGATTACGTTGCTGGACTTCCACGTAGTCAACCATGGTTCAAGTTCTAGACCCAGTGGCTCGAAACTCACGCTGGGTACATGTACATGTATGCCCGAAGTCCTGAGGAGAAGGTTTTGTGGAGTGGTCATCACCCTGGGGGGTGATCTCTCACTTTCTCTCTGTCTTTCCTGCGAGCATACATGCCATATGGCAGAAATCTCTCTTAAAAATAAAATTTAAAAAAAGAATGTATTATTCTTAGCAGTTTGTTGGTGTTTCAGGGAATAAGACAGGGACAGGAGCTAAAAATTAAAAAAAAAAAAAAAAACTTACTCCAAAGTTTAGAGTGTGACTTAGTGAAATAGTTAAATAAGAAGATTCTCAGGTGTTTCTTTGAAAGTTTGTCTTTCAGCTTCTCCCTAACCCCCATCCTAGTGCATAGCGAGGTTTACAGATTTGAGAACTCAGAAGCAATGTGAAGCATTTCCAGTGTGTTCCTTTCCTATTTTTCCAGTTCAGAATTATTTGTGATGGAGTTAGATATCAATGAGTCAGCAGGGTTTGCAGTGCAGTAACTGGAGGATGACCGCCCTTCTCCATTTCAGAAATGTGACCTTCACCGCCTGGAAGAAGGCCCTCCTGCCACGACAGTGCTCACCAGGGAGGATGGACTCAGATACTACAGGATGATGCAGACTGTGCGCCGAATGGAGCTGAAGGCAGATCAGCTCTATAAGCAGAAGATTATTCGTGGTTTCTGTCACTTGTGTGATGGTCAGGTGAGTGGGAGGTTTGTAATAGAGCTGTGTTCTTTAGGTACTTAATTATGGCTTGTATTCATTGGTTTTTACCCTGCCTGTGTATCAGAGGACTTGAGGCTGGTATTTTAGAATAAAAATTAGGTCAAAACCCACTGTGAGGCTCAGGCTAAAGAATTCATTCATACATAACAGTGCTGATTTCCTCCAAGAGAAGACAGGAGTTTTGATTTTCATGTGACAGTTCCCCAATATTTAGTGACCACATTTTATTGGGAACTTTTTTTAATGACAATACAGGATAAAGAAAAATGGTATCTCTGGGATGATAGGTTGTTACTTTTGTTTTGGGTCTT